TTGCCATAGTAGTTATCATAATTCACAGCATCAAACAGTGGACTTGATACATTCCCAAACGTTTCGGCATCATTAGTGAGTGCTGTCATTATCCACACCAAGTTATGAACTCTTCAAAGGGACAAGTGAAGTCAATCCCTCGAAAAACGTACTGCCGTAGATAGTTACACTATCACTCTTCTTTATGTCCTGGCTTATCTATCTACTCTTTACCCTCTTATCCAACTCCCGCCCTATAACAATTGATCACTTGTTTACATTCCACTCGTCAAAATGTGCCCATTTTTGGCAAATTTAGTATTGCCTCATCACACCTGCTATCCACCCAGAGCCCCTCTCTTTCGATCCGCTAATATGACTCGGGCCACCTATTTTGATCTCTCTCATGGTCCCGTAGATCCGTTCCTTATCTTCTGGTTGATTGATTTGACCTAGGCTCTGATTTCCTTGTTTGCAAATATCAGGCATTGTCTTCACAGGTCGTCTCCTCCATTAAACCCGTGTTACCTGAGAAAACTGTAGACGCCTATCTCAGGTCGAATGGGACATATCAAGTAGATTTTTAGTAAATTTTGTCCATAATGCCGAATTTCTGTAACGGTGGTGCGTCGGTAGACTTGTGAAGAGTGTTGTTTTTCCCTTAATGGCCACCCGAATATTCAATTTCCTTAATATTAACCGTAGTTTTTAGTTAGTTCGCAGGAAGTTAGGCATATCCAATTTTGTGAATCCTTCTCCGTCCTTATTGTTCTTTCATAGTCCCCGTTCTGCCATCGGTTTTCCTAGGTCCGTGTGTTTATTTATATAACTTTGCTTCGATAGCCGTTGCCGAGAGATATCCTAGTTTATTTGTCCAATTCTTCACCACAGAATTCGACATCCATTAAACGTACGCTTCGGATAAGCATGCTCCTCAATATTCCTATATTTAGCCTCAAGTGGCCATCAAGAAAAAAAACACTCTTCACAAGTCTACCAAAGCAATATGAAAGATTGGACAAAATTGATTGTTCAGTAGTTTGCTGCATAGCATTCGGCTCCTGCGAACAGAAATATATTGGCGAAACAGGAAGAAAAGTTAGCATACGAATTAAGAAACATCAATCGTTATGATATTTCTGTAGTGAAAGTGTCGATTAAATAAGGTTGTATTTTTTATTTAAAGAGCCTGCTGAGGAGTTTAATGAGATGTAAGCGAGATCATGACAGCATTCCACTCCAACCCGGATGAAAATACCCTTTTGGTAAGCAAGGCTACGTGAAATTTTGTGGAAACATGAGGATAAATTCATAAAACAGTCCTCCATCACACTAAATATACTAGGATGAGTGTAGCTATTATATCAGATCTGCTGACAGTCTCGAATACCTACTTTTATTTGAAAAACATAAATCATTAAGTCTGGCATTCTGGATCGGTCTTCACTTGTCTCGCGCCAAGATCAGACAAGATTGCATTGGATTTCATCCTGCATAGAATAAGGCTCAACGTGAAACTTTTCCCAAAGGAAAGCTGGTAAAAAGTTAAAGAGTAGTGCAGGTGGTAGAACCAGTAGTCTGAAGATTGAATTCAAAGTGAGAGTAACGCTTTCATTCATATTTCTTCATAGAAGTTGAGACAACAAAAAATAAAGTAATATTATTTTTTGCTACACTTTGGGGTATCTCTATCTGAGGAATCGGCTCTTTGGCAGAATCATGGTTATTATGAAATTCTGAGTGGTATCTCATTTGGTACCCAGAGGAAATAAAAAGGACAAATAGAAAAATAAATTGATGCTAAACCCCTCAATTATAAGAGCCTTGAGAAATATAAAGTCAAAATACTGGAAATAATAAATTGTACATCCCAGGTCACTAAAGGTGATTTAGAAACGGATAATTAAATTTTTTCCCTAATCATGTGAATAGATCTCACATCGCTTAGCCTTAGCTACAAAAAGGATTTACTTTAGTTTCGACTTCATCCAGGGCTCATTAGCACCTCCAAACGATTTTAAACCGAGTTGTTCGAATCCTGGCTGCACATCCATGAATGCCAGGGAGCTACGGGGCATGACAGGCCTTACCTAAATCGGTTTTATAGTTAGATTGTTAATAAGGCAATCGTTGACAATTTATATTCTTTATGAATATGTTTCGAAACTAGCGTGAGGTCTGGCTTGGCCTGAATGACCTATGCCCCATTGGCAAGCGTGATTGTGTGGTGTAGTAGTGGCGTGTCGCCACGATGCACACGACCCTGTTTCGTACCCCATCAGGGGTGCTGATGAACTGATAAAGTGAGGTCGAAATCGCAGTTCTCTGTGGAAGAGAAAACATTTTTGGAGGTGAAGCTAAGTGAAATTAAGTGGTATCATTAAGCTTACTAATAAGATTATGAGAAAAACTTTAGGCAAACAAGGGTGATTAAGTTGTTATTCAACAATTATTGATAGCTTAAAAACATTCTCATACCGAATGCTACTCATACATGTAAATATGAAATAATTCGTACAATTGCAGTAAATATTAATAATTTTCTTAACTATGGTTCGTGCTCATTTGATTACAGACTAAGAGACCTATTTGAGAACCCTCATCGTTCTGGAATTCCTAGGTGAAGTACTAAACAAGCAGGCATTACAACAACCACCTGAAGTGATGCCTTGATATTAAGAGCTTGATTGAAGTAAATTCTGAAGCCCCCAGCGCATAAATGCAAACCAAATAAGCAAAATGACCTATTAATTTGTAGGATGATGACTGGGATTTGTCCACGACAGAAGTATGCTGCCTAATTAGACAAGCCAAAGTCCTGAAGAGATGTTGGCAGTATGAATATTAAAAGCGTAACCAAATGAAAAAAAATTGTGCCAATTGAAGTTCATTCACTTAGAGAAGTTTGCAGATGCAGCATCTTCATCACTAGCATCTGTGTCGTGGTGCCGCGCTCCGTTTGCCATTCCATCGCCAGCCTCAGATTCACTTCCTGGCCGAACGGGATCGCGATCTCTAGCACTTTCACGATTGGGATTTCTCCGATGAGAGGAACGTCCACCACGTTGCTCGCCGGCCGAGGCTGAGGAAGTAAGAAGTGGCCGCAAACGCCAAGCCTCCTCAGACTCGTCGAAAAATGCTCGTCGCTTAAGTTTTTCACGCTCCTCTAAGGGCAGAAAGTTCTCCAATATCAATTGGCGAAGCTTCACCTCACGAGTCAGCTCTTCTTGGACACGCTCATGTTCCTGTCGCTCACGTGTATGATCCTCCTGTACCTCGCTGATTTCGAGCTTCACTTCCTACTTGAGGTGTAGGGAGGACAGAGGAAAGCACAGATGGGAAAATGAAGTGGAAATTCGACTATAATAATTCTGAGTTGTTTCCAATCTCGTCTTAATAGTTAGCATTAATTTAAGGCAGCTTTTTGTTCGAAGCCTCAAGAAGCCCGAAACGTACCCACAGAAACTCACACTGTTTTTTTAAGTTTGATATAAAATGTTGGAGATACTATGAAAACTAGAATACATTTACGATGACAAATATTCCATAAATTAAAGAAATATCATCTAAAAGGAAAAATTCAAGGTCATTACCATAAAAAATAATTTTGGAAAATGAGTGGTGTTGGTAATTATCAATGTGATTAATTGGATGAATGAATAAATAAATAAATAAGGTCAAATGAATGAAATTAATGAAAATGAGTGGCTGGAATAAGTGACTAAGAGAGTGGAACTTAGGGATAAAGTAAGCGCAAGAATGGATGATTGAATCAGCTAATAAAAGCTAATAAGAATAAATAAATACATAAATGAAATGTAAATTATTTAAGCTATCAAATAGATCAAAATAATTAAATAGGCAATAGCGAATTAAATGAGTGTTTAAATAAATAAAGCAAATTTGAATTTAATACTTAAAATAGTAACAAGCGAATATAATCAAGTAATTGAATGAACGTAAACGTAAAAGTGTGAGTAATTGAACTGATGAAAACGAATTAGACTGAGCTTAAATTGATAAAGTGGGTGAATTAATAAGCAATCAAGTCAATCAATGAGTGAATAGATAAGAACTTTAGTAAAGAATCGGGATGAGTGATAAAGCGTGTTTTTTGGTGGGTACTTGGTTAAGAGTAGTTGAATGAATGAAAATGTAAGTGAATACAATTGAGCCAATTAAGGTGAATGAGAATTGATTAATTGATAAATAAAAACAAGCACGAAAGCGATTCTGTGAAAGTTAATTCGATCGAATGAGCAATTGTGGTTTGCGATTGATCAGGTGAGTGATGTGATGACAATATGACTGATAGCGCTCCAAAATTTCGTAAGACATTACATGTATATGTGTTCGAGACCCATTAAGACATTTTACCATGAATTGAAAGTCTTGCCTTGAATATAGATTTGCTAAAATGTTAAACAAGAGGTAGCCGAAAGCCAAATAGCAAATGCTATTCATTTCTAAGCCAGTAGCATAGTTATGCTAACGTGTATAAGATAAAATAACGTTCACACACTACAAAAGAAACAGCAAATTCGAAGGAATTTTCAAAAGGAATTCCAGAATGTCTGATGTGAAAGGTTGCCATAGGGAAGGATTGATTTTTTAATTTATCAAATAACTTTTACAAATAAATCTTAATGCAAGTTTAATACTAAAAATATAAAAAGCTGGAAACAAAGGATAAAATCAGATAAATATTACTATTTTAGTATACAGGTAAACACAGACAAACACTAATTATTTCAAAGAAAACTAAGAAGGATAATCAGGAGAAGAATAAATTTATAATAAAAAACTGGGATTGCTGGACTCACTACCCTTTCAAATGAAAGTGTTCAGTAAAAATATTAATTGATTGATCCCACCAAAAGACGACAGTGGATTTCTTTTGGTCAGCTGTCAATTGGCTTTACTGGAACATTCTTGGAGTGCCGCTGTTTTGAAAAAAATCTCTTATTTGCCAATGTTGAGGCAATCTCCATGAATTCTGGTTAAATCGTGTTAAATTTTTATCCATAATATAATGGACCTCCTCGGAGTGGAGCATCATCCATACAACCATATTCTAGCTAGAAGTCAAGAAACTCACCAGCGTATACTTAAATGCTGTATATATATATATATATATATATATATTGTAAATCAAGGCTTTTTGAATATGTATAAAATGTTAAGGTTAGTTTAAGTTATATGTTAAGCTTGAATCGAAAGATATTGCCTTGGAAACAGCGTCAACAAGAATGTTCCAGTAAAACCAATCGACGCCTGGCCGAGAGGAATCCGCCGTCGTATTCTGGTGGGATCGGCCTTCGAATCTCTGCATTTCAAAGAGAAGTGAGCTCAACAAATGTAAATCAAGATATTGGAGGAAGAGCTGTATCCAATTTGAAGAAATGCCAAGGTACCCTCAGCTTATGGCCTTCTAAAAGGTTCATGAGGAGGAGATTTCCCTTAGATTGATAGTAAGCAATAATGGTAGTGCTGTGTATAAAATTAGAAAATGTGATTGAATTCTGGCTATTTTCGGTTAAAACTCATATAACTTTGTCAAATTTATGGATCAGTAGATAATTTTAGTATATACTATTCCAGTTTGTTTAAGTGCAGTATCAACGTAGATAAATATGCCAGTTCAGAGGGCTATTCAAGCTTTAGCTCAAGTGCTCATTCTGGAGAAGCATTCAAAGATTTCGAAGGGAATTAGGTTGAGTATAGCCTCTATTTAAAAGCTTCTTAGCCTATCGATGAGTAGTACCTATTTCACCTTTGACGGTAGGTTTTTTGTAAAAACTTAAGA